AATAAATTAATTGAAGAACAGTTTAATAATGTTCTTTTGAAATGCAATATTGATCAGCCATTAACAGACTTCAATTATGACAAATATCGTCAAAAAGTTATGAATTCATTTATGAAAGAAAAATTTATGATTGATTATGAAGCAGTTATGTTTATACATTTTACATACTGTTCTACTATGAAAACGTTTCCTGCTAAATTCCATCTACTTTGGAATAAATACTTTGAGCAATCTCCAATTAATGAAGTTAGACCTATCCTCGGTACTCGAAATGTTAAAAACATACAAAGACGTCTAGCTTTCAATATGGTATGATTATATTCCTAATTGTTTTTACAATAACTTACTGTGATGAACATGATTATAAATATGAAGAAGGTCAAAAAGTTGTTTTATGGATGAATACAGTTGGTCCATATCATAATCATCAAGAAACATATAATTATTTTTCATTACCATTCTGCCGTGGATCATCAAAAGAAACAAAAAAACAAAAACGAAATCTCATATTATCATGAAACATTAGGTGAAAATATTTTAGGTGTTGAATTAGAATATAGTGGAGTTGAAATTAATTATAAACTTGATAAAGAAAAAACAGATTTTTGTGAAACAACATTAACACAAGAAAATTATGATGCATTTACATATGCAATTAAAAATCATTATGGGTATCAAATATTTATTGATGATTTACCTATTTGGGGAGCATTTCTTGTTCCATTTCAACATAAAATGGTCTTTTAACTTGCCTGACACATATTATTTATGTCCAATAAATTATTGTATATGTTGAACGATACTTTATATTGACTTCTCATTGTTTATTTGTTGCAATATTTTTCTATGTGTATTTATATTCTAATGTGGTTCAGTCACATTAATGGATTTTATATTGAGCTTACAACAAGAAATTATATATTTCATTAAATAGAATTTATTGAAAGAATTGAATCACTGATAATTTATATTTTAATGTGGTTCAGTCAACATTTGATGTTTAGAATTATTTGAAAAATC